AAGAAAAAGCAAAACAAAATAACCAACTTAACATTGCTGACCATGAACAAACATTTTGAAATAATGAGTATAACAGAAACCTGTTTTGACAAAAATAATTACTGGATAATTAAATTAGAAAGGATAGAAAAGAAAAAAAATGTGGAGGGGTTGTAATGCTTATACAAAATGTATTGATTATGAAACTCAAGCAAATATTAATTGTAGCTAGATTGGAAAACGGTTAAAACTGGTATAATATTTTTATTGCTAGGTGTCCTAGCACTTCTGCTGCTCCTAACTGCTAATGTGGGAAGAAGAGTTAACCCATTCCACTCACTGCAGCACTGTAGCACTCTTAAAATGCAATTCTGCCATGGGATCACCTTCATTTGGTTCAAAAATGGCAAGTTTAATAGGTAACTATGCAAGCAATTATAACTAACCTATCTCACAAAGGTCGCAATTGAAATTTAAAACAACAGTTTTCTTTAATCCATGATTTTGATACAGGGTAGCAGTCTATAGGTCAGCTTTGCATCAATTTGTTTATCTAAAGTGCAGTTCTTCTCAGGGGAATAGCAGTTCTAAACCAATGTCACCTCTAAATTACTGTTTATTGTATAGCTACAAGATTTTAAATGAAACAGGCAATGTGTTTTAGTCCCTGCACAATTACATTTTGGAAAGGTCCAGTGTAAATAATGTAATCCAATTCAGGTTCCTTTGTGTTTCTTTAGTTATTTGACCTAGACAGAGATGTTCTGTAAAGTAATTTATTTTACATAGAATAAAAGAACATTCTAAAAAAAGTTGTTGGTCCAGTCTTTTAAATTTCATAGTACTGGCGCTAGAACGGAATCCCTACAGTTGTATAATTACTTAATTTATTTATGTATCGCTAGTGCTAAAAAGTATTGAGCATGCCTGGGCTGTTATTGTAGCCATAGCATTTTATATTATTAATAACCAAAATCTACATTTTAGAAGATTAGTTTAGTGCATTGATAGAAAGGTACACTTTTTACTAATGGTGTTTTATTAAATTAGGCATATTTATCAATATTAAATTCAGTCTGTCACTTTGCCATGCATGTTAGCATGTCTCAAGCACCTTTTATGACATTTTTTTACTCTGCCCATTTTATCTATTTTCTTCAAATCATGGAGCATTTGTATTTTTGGACAATTTGGGTGGCCTGTTTGGTTGGATGTTAAAGAGTAATTCCACTTTTGTTGAGAAATAAATTAATCCTCTTTGGGTGATCATCGTACATTGCAAGGATTTCAACAAACTTTGTTGCAGTTTCCTACCTCTTTCTATTCTGAAGAAATAGCTGTTTGTTGCAGTATGTCCTTTCCAAACTGATTCCTGAATGGGAGGGTTCTTTACAACCCGCTGGTTGGCTTCCTGTGTTCTAATAGGGAAAGGTGCAGTGTCTGCATTCCTTTAGTAGTAATTAGCCCTTAGGGAGTATCTCAGCAAAAGTGAAATTCCTATTGCAAGGGATGCAAACAAATCCTTCTTGTTAAACTCATTAATTCACAACTTCAGGGGACATTGTTTTTTGTGGAAACTCACATACAGTATCAAAGTAGTCACAGGCACACCGAGATCCAACATGTAAAACATCTTTAATTAGATGTTAAACACCAGTGGACAGCAATGTTTCAGAACCATTAAATGTCCCTTCATCAGGCATACATAGTGGCATATAAATCAAAGTGCAGCAATATATACAGTGACAAGCCCTCAAAAGTGAGGTTCCTGCAGTGAAACAGAAATAAGTTATTAACCTAATACTTAAACATTCTCTTAGAATATGAGATGCAGTTAAATACTCGGGTAAATTAGCCTCTCCCCATTTGCCTGTAGCAACAATTATAAATAATCCACTTTTTCTCCCTGAGTGTGAGGAACCATCTAGGTTCCAAGCTTGGAAGCAAGCTGGATTGTGCCGAATTCAAGGTTTTTTATCGCAATCCGGGATTATGACTTTTCACTCATAAAAGTCATAATCCCGGCTAAATATAAAATGCCCCAGTCTTAAGTGTTTTGTTATTTACAGATAAAGAGTTTTATTCTTTCAATTTTGTCTACCAACTGTTGGGCTACCAACTGAGTTGACAAAGTTTGAGCAATATTGCCTGTAGGATCCTCATTGCAGCGAAACACTTTCCATTTTTGATAAGTTCCTCAAGGAGAGTAATGATCTTTAGCCATTACATTATTTGGCAATGTGGGAGAAGAAGTTGGGTAAACAGCTAGAGGACAGAGAATGGGTTCTGATCTGGGATATGATTGCTCACTGTTTGATTAATACTTCAGCTACTGAAGCTAATTATAAGTTATTGTTCACTGGTATATGGTTCCTCTCAGATTGACTACATTTGTAAACGATTCTTCCCCTGAATGCCTTTGAGGGTGTAAATAACTGGGCTCAGTGGTACATGTATGGCGGAGCTGTCCCAAGATCAATCGGTTTTGGGCTGGGATTTATCAATTGATATCTATGTTTTGGGAAAGAGGATACGGAGAGACCCTTGGGAAGCGTTCTTAAATCAATTTCAATTAGTAACATATATGTATGGTGGCAAAACAAGTATTGGCAAGGTCGTGGAAATCTTCTATTCCAACTGTACAACAGGTTAAATGGAAAGTTTCTTGGTTTTTGATGAATGAGAAATTATTGGTGATATTAAATGATACAGTATCAAAATTTAAGCAAATGTGGTCACCATGGATTGAAAATTATATGTCCTCTGACTTTGATATATCTTCATTAGATCATTAGATGATGCCACTGACAGTCCTGAGAATATAGGAAAAGGGGGATTTGTTTTTTTGGCTTTTTTCTCTTTCTTTTTCCTTTTGTTAAGTTGTTGCTTTGGGGGGGGGGGGGGTAGGTCGCTTTACAAGGAATGCATTGCTAGATTCCTATTGGCTATTTCAATTTGCAATAGCCAATAGCAAACTAGCTATTGTACCCGCTATTGTAGGGCGCTTCCAATCTAGCAATGCAGAATGCTTCCAATCTAGCAATGCAGAACGCTTCCAATCTAGCAATGCAGAACGCTTCCAATCTAGCAATGCAGAACGCTTCCAATCTAGCAATGCATTCCTGTGGTGACATTTAAAAAAAAAAATTTTGATGGCAGCAGAACTGCCGGCCAATGGTGAAATGTTTTTTTTCTATTCTGGCACGGCTCCGTGTCAGAAAAAAAAAGAGAAAGCAGTGTTTCTCTCCTTGGCGGCCGGGAGCGGGAGACTCCTGGAGCGCCCGGCAGAGTTAGGCTGTCTGGAGATCAGTGTCCCTGGTTAGCTGGTAACCAGGGACGCTGATCTCTCTGCAAGTGGCCGGAGCCAGCCATGGCTCAGCTCGGCCAAGTTCGGGAGCTGTACGGGCTATAGTGAATAGCCCGTACAGCAGGGGTCCTGGGGCCGAAGCTAGCCGAAGGATCAGCCGAAGCAGCTTAGTGAATAGACCCCTAAGTGACAATAGTGAGATTGTGGGATGAGTTTAATTGTATTAATCGATATGATGGTTCTAATTAGAGGTAGTGTTTCTTTTTGAATTTTTTTTCCTGTTAGTCTGAATTTGTTTAAATATGTGTTTTGTTTTGGAAGGACAGCTCAAGATTGTTTCCCATTATGTAGTGAGTTCTGGCACTATACTGCAGTCCTCCCAGTACAAAATCAATCAGTGGAGCTGCAAGCAAGATTTTATGTATGTTACCTGTTCACTCAGCAGCTGAAAGATATTAGCAAAATGCATGTCGCTCAAGTTTAGGACTTCAGAAAAAGTGGTATTAAATACTTAGACTTGGAATACTTGAAATTATCTTTATAACTTACCCAGCTAATAGTATAGTGCATGGTAGCATATTCATCGAAGTTGGGGTATAACTTCATGTTCTGGCAAGGTGATCATACACAAGTTACCATTAGTTAATGTGGGCTCTGTCAAGGGAGCCTATTTATTTTGAATATGCTGGCAGCATACCTTAACACATGGAAAACTGTACATGATTCTTTTTTTTAAAATGAGTATATTGCCGCCACTATATTATTCACCCAAAAGGGTGTCCAAACATTTGCAGATTTCTTATGTGGTGTTGTATTTGTTTCCAGTCTTTTCAATTCCGCAATATTAATTGTACACTTGCAGAAACATGGCTATGTACTAATCAATTTTCACTGAGACGATCAATACTATGATTTTACCAGGCTGGCCAAAATGTTACCTTGTATACAGAGACAAACAAACCAATACATTATTTTGCATGCAAAAGAGCAATATATTTATGCTTATAATATTTTTCTTGATTTACAACTCTTATTAACATTTTGCTATTTTGCAGCACATAAGTAGTCGAAGGCACAAAGACAGAGCAGCTGGGAAGCCACCAAAACCTAAATATAGTCCCTATGCATGTCGCTCAAGTTTAGGACTTCAGAAAAAGTGGTAGTAAATACTTGGACTTGGAATACTTGAAATTATCTTTATAACTTATCCAGCTAATAGTATAGTGCATGGTAGCATATTCATCGAAGTTGGGGTATAACTTCATGTTCTGGCAAGGTGATCATACACAAGTTACCATTAGTTAATGTGGGCTCTGTCAAGGGAGCCTATTTATTTTGAATATGCTGGCAGCATACCTTAATACATGTAAAATTGTACATGATTCTTTTTTTTTAAATGAGTATATTGCCGCCACTATATTATTCACCCAAAAGTGTGTCCAAACATTTGCAGATTTCTTATGTGGTGTTGTATTTGTTTCCAGTCTTTTCAATTCCGCAATATTAATTGTACACTTGCAGAAACATGGCTATGTACTAATCAATTTTCACTGAGACGATCAATACTATGATTTTACCAGGCTGGCCAAAATGTTACCTTGTATACAGAGACAAACAAACCAATACATTATTTTGCATGCAAAAGAGCAATATATTTATGCTTATAATATTTTTCTTGATTTACAACTCTTATTAACATTTTGCTATTTTGCAGCACATAAGTAGTCGAAGGCACAAAGACAGAGCAGCTGGGAAGCCACCAAAACCTAAATATAGTCCCTACAATAAAGTACAGAAGACAGCCACTCCAGCTGTGGTAAGTTGACTATGTTTTGTGTATACAATTTAGAAAAAGAACATTCTTTATGGTTGAGGTAGTTACATAACACATACAATGTATTTGAAATCCGAAAATAATTAATTCATGAAAAAATAAAAGTTTTGGTTGATCTCCAGTGCCTCACACCTACCTGTTGGATGGAAACAAAATTGGGCTGATTTACTAAAAGAGTTGAGAATGTTCATTAAAAAAGTGTGAATATTTACTTCAATTACCCAATCATGTGGAATGCATGAGTGGGTGTTCAAAGTGAAAATGAATTTGTTTTCTATTTATTTGGATATCTGAAGTGAATATTCACACAATTTACAGATTCTCAATTCTTTAAGTAAATATTTTAGTAAATCAGCCTTGATATATCTAGAGTGCTGGCTGAAGAGCAGTAACATAAAATGTAAGGTACAATAAACATGGGATTGTTACAGGAAACAAATATGCCTCAACCTCCACTTGTAATTAACTAAAAATAATTGATTTTATCATTTCTAAAATATAAATTGTGAGATTTTTAACAATAGCCTTAAAAACACGATAATTTAGCTTTAAGTTGTACCGTTATAACTGGTCTCCCTTCCAGAGGCCTTACATAAACGGCTGGATTGGAGCCTTGTAGATGCGGGTGGGCGTTTTAAAATTTCCTTTCCCGCCCTCACTCATGCGTGCCACCCAGAGCGTGCATGAGTGGGAAAACTATCTAAAATGTAAACAGCCAGCAATAGCTGTTTAAATATGAGCGTTTGTATTTTGTGAGTGTGCGTCCCCCGTCACCTTTTGGCGGTCCTGGGATCTGCCGTGCCCACAGCGGGCCGGGGCCAACACGGTGGCTCTGTCACTGGAGATCAGTCCACTATCTCCCTCCAATCAAAATTCTTTGAATGTGGGAAGTGATGTGTATTACATCACTTCCGCAATCAGCTGTCATTCCCGGCTACAGAAGCCAGGGAGAAGCTGGTGAAGCAGATCTCTGCTTCATTTGCTTTTCTGGGGGTCCCTAGGTGACATTAAAGACTCCTGATGTCTCTATAAAGAAGACCTGCCACATAAATTGACTTTCACATAAGAGCTTCTTAGCCCCCTGAGTGATAGCAATAAAGTTAAGTGTAAAAAAAGTTTTACAAAATTAAAAAAGCATAAAAAAAATAAAAGCACATAAAAAACACAATAAAAAATGTAAAATACACATATACACATCTGATGTCTCCATAAAGAGGACCTGGTATTTGGAATTGACTATCACATAAGGTGTTTCTTAGCCCCCTGTGTGATAGCAATAAAGTTAAGTGTGAAAAAAAGTTTACAAACAATTAAAGCATCAAAAAATAAAGAGGCTTAAAAAAATAGTAAATAAAAAGAAAAAGAATGTAAAATAACACAATTTGAAAAAAAAGTCCCCTACCTCCCACATACACACGCAAACATGTGTCGGGTGCGCCTGCGTGCGGAAACAGCGATTGCGGCCATTGCGCCACACATGTTACATATCACCGTGAATGGCAGAGCCTGAGCAATAATTCTAGGGCCATTAATCACAGATAACCCTAAATTGATGAGCAGTAAAAGCTTTTAAAGAGTCCCCAATGGCCAATTTTTGGTATGGTAGTTTTGTGTGATTTTGCGTGCACACGCAATTTTAAAGCTTGACATGTTTGGTGTCTATTTACCCAATGTGACCCCGTGTTTATATTTTACCAAAAGATTGGGGTGATAATAAATGTTTTATAACATAAAGTAGGGAAACAGTTTTTTTCAAAATTTTCAGTACTTTTTTTTGTAATATAGTAAAAAATAAAACCCCCAGTAGTGATTAAATACAACCAAAAGAAAGCTCTATGTGTCCCCAAAAAATGTTATAGTACTGCAGTGCTGAATACTGAAAAATGGCCTGGACAAGTAGGGGGTTTAACACCCTGGTCTTCAAGTGGTTAATTACTGTGCTATAAAAAATGTGAGCATATCATCAGATTCAAACTGTATAACTTTGTTGCATATACATTGTAATACATTTTGCATAAATTCTCTAGATCTACTAACCATCTAGTTATAATAAGTATGTTGTATTTGTGATCAAAAGGCAAAGCTGATTTTTATCCAGTCATCTATATTTTACTCCCTTTATATATGTTGGTAGGTATTATTACCTATTGCATCCATGAGCTTTTATCCCATTCAGTTCAAGTATGTTCTATTTTTTGATTATAATATAGCAGACGTTACTTATATTTCCGTCTGCTTTCAAAATAAGATTTAGTAAACAGTAGTTAGGCTTTTATAATTGCTTGTAGGCTTGTTTTTTCTCTCCAAATTACCAAATCCTTTGATAAAAATTATTATCTTAAAAGAACATCTTTTGAACATTTTTAATCATCAAATGAAAGTATCTACAGCTATTAAAACATGCTGCATACAAGAATAGATTTTTGTCCTCAAGGGTGTTTCACTGTAAAATTTAGATAAGCACTCTGTAAAAGCAGTTCTCTTATCTTAATATAACATATCTTGAGACAGAAAATTAAATAGGAAAGCTTGTATGTTTAGAATGGCTTGATTTGTTTTTTACTAGTTTGCAATCTACATCCAAAGCTAATTTAATAATCTAGATATCATTAATACTTTGCAAAGTATTTAGCTGTGCTGTTTTAAAGCAAAGGAATACTCTTGTCAGTTGTCTTTTCAATTTCAAAACATTTTATTGGTTTTACATAGCGTATCTGAGATAACAACATTTCGAATGAAGCAGTTACAAATCAGTTGTCTTTTTAATTGCACCAACATGCTTGCAGTCATTCCTCTGCAAAATAAATGTGCTCCATCTACATTGTTCATTAATATTTAACATCAGAAAGTATTTTCAAAGGCACCTTTTTGCTTTTTTAGTAGAGTTATTATTGCAATGTTGTAGCATCAAAGCACATGCAATTAGAATACACTCAGGTGTCACATGACTAATAATGTTGGGTTTAAATGGAAAGATTTTTTTGGTTGATGCAACTTAAAGTGGAATTTGAGATAAACAGCAAAATACTAGATGGTAGTTAGACACATATTAATGGCTCCAATAGGTGAAACAAACAAGCTGAACAATAATATATATGCCAGAAAGTAAAACCAAGTGTTTAGGAGGGATGGACTGCCAAGAGGGTATGCTGAGGTCTGTGAGAGCCCACAGACATGCTAATTGTCTGAACTGCTGAAATTGGTAAGACTTGATGACACATAACACTTGTGGTAGCTTACATTTTGAGCATGACTTTTGGGGCAATAAAATCTTAAGCATTTGTCACTACAATATTTACTCCATTAAGGAAATTAATGGCAATCAAACATGCAATAATTTTTGAACAAGTTGAATAGGGCAAAGTATCTTCGCAATTTAGGTGTTCTACAACAAAAAATCTATAAATCAGTCTATAAATAAGAAATATCTAGAATTTGCCTAGAAATATGTTTGTGGGCAGACTGCAGTAGAATATTGTGGGTTCCTCTAATAGTGTACATCATTGCACAGTGCTTCAGTGGGCTACAAAATACTTGGATTATTTAAATACAAGGTACATAACACTTTTTTTAACTAGTGAAGTCCTGAGATTACATGCATAATATTAATTATAGCTCTTAAAGTTGAGTTTAAATCATCTAAATATATTCCAGATGCAACAAAATTACAAAGTGTACTGTATGGATTATACAGCTAAGGAAAATAATTTCTTGTATCAACATCCCAAAATGTTTTACATAATTACATCATATCATAGTTTGCCCAGAAAACCTCCACATCATAAAACCCCTGCCTACCCTAATGATACCATTCCACAAAGATCATTGCATAAATATACATTACATCTTGTTGAACATATTCAATAGGAATATGGTGGGCAGATGTTAAATAACTGTATGAGGCTTGTAGCGCCCATAGAGCCTATAGCTAGGTGAATAATGCTTAATTTCATAGATACAACATGATTATTATGTATATGTAAAAAGTGTTAAGAAAAAGCCACTTGTTCAAAATCACTTGCAAATGTATTTCAAGGATCAACATCAATCCAAATCAATAAAATTAGTTGTAACTATATGTGTCTGAAACCATTCCACATGTCTAAAGGAGGACTGCTAGTGTACCAGGGGTGATCACAATTCAAATAGATTCAGTGGTCTAAAATGTCACCAAATTATTAGGCTGCTATACCATTTAATATGTGTCATAGCTATCTATTATGATGCCATACCTACCCAACACAAGAGGCAAAATAGCCTATCCTTGTGCACCACCTATTCAGAAATATAAAGAAAATTGAAAAATCTGTCCCTTACTTTCTGTGAAGAAGTGGTGGTCTATTTGCAGAGGTCTAATACACCCACTGCTTAGTCCAATCAACAGTGAGCATGACGTTTCCTGATTGCAGAGCTATAGAACTGACTAAGCAAGGAGTGTGTCAGATTTCTGCAGAGAGGCCATACAGAGCAAAAGTGCTTCTCTACAGCATGCTGGCAAGGGACAGACTTTTCTTCTCAGAATGTTGCTGCTTTCCTTTTGATTGCACCTGAAATGTATTTAGCTGATTTCAACTGAATGGTTATTTTGGATTTAAGGGTTAGTTCACACCATAAGCAGTGCGTTCCGGTCCGATTCTGGCCGGAATGCACTGCCTCACATTCCAGCTCATTCATTCATTCATTGACGTGAATGGCACCATAGCCACGCCCTCCGGCCACAATGCGATCGCCTGCAGTGTGGTCTGGTGCGATTAAAATGCTGCAAGCACTATTTTGATCGCACCAGACCGCACTGCAGGCACAATGTGCCTGGCGTTCCCATGCTGGCGATCGCCTTGCGGCCGGAGGGCGTGGCTACAGTGCCATTCAGTTCAATGGCCACCATATCTCCTCCTGCCCGGCAAAAAAGTGAGCTGGCTGCAATGCGAGGCAGTGCGTTCCGGCCAGAATCGGACCAGAATGCACTGCTTATGGTGTGAACTAACCCTAAGGGGTCTATTCACAAAGCTGCCGAGGGCAGCCGAGTGAATGACCGATCAGAAGTGAAGTGAGCCGAACACTGTTCGGCTATTCACTTCAGGCTGGTACGGCTGATTTTGGCCGTACATCGGCTGAAATCAGCCGTACATCGGCTTGCTTCGTGTGGCTTCGAATCAGCCAAACATGCTCAGCAAATGGCTATTGAAATTGGCCAGCTTCGGCTTTCAGCATGGCTCCGCCGAGCCGAGGCATATGCGATCGGCTCGACTGAGCCGCTCGGCTGTGATCGGGAGCTGTACGGGCTATTGTGAATAGCCCGTACAGCACCCCCTCGGTTCTCCTGAACCAAAGGGGTCCTGGGGCCGAAGCTAGCCGAAGGATCGGCCGAAGCTACGGCCAGATCCTTCGGCAGCTTTGTGAATAGACCCCTTAGTCATAGTAGAATAAATGTTCCATTTAACATTTTTTTTTTTTTTTTTACTTTTTTGAGTGAAATATAAAAAGTGTGGGCTATCCTTTCACTGAAAGACACCAGCCTAACAAAATGGCTTTAATGTGTAGGATCCTGTCTAATATCTAGAGCAATATGCAATCCCCCTGTCATTATAATACAAGTACACACACCCCGAAGCATCGAGTAAGTGCATGCACCCTGTAGCATTGGATTAGTGCTATCATTTATGATTTTAATAATAATGCCTGATGACGATAGTAGTGTTGTTGCTAGTGATCATGCTTATGTTTTATAATAAGAATGTTGTTTTATATTAGCCAAACATTGATTTTTGTAGCATTGGCAGCCTTTATCCTAATTCTATGCATTTTTATTATTGCTGTTTGTATTGCTGATAATTATGCAGTAATTGTTTGTTTTTTTTTATAGATAAAATTAGCTTTTTCCAAACAGCGTCTAAAGCCATTAACAACACGGATCCTACCAAATCCACTGGCGGCAGCTGTGGCTGCTGCTGCTGCCGCTGTGAATTCACATTTCAGTCTCCGAACTGCTCCAGCAGCCTCACTATTCCAAACTTCAGCACTTCCTCCAGCACTTCTGAGGCCAGCTCCTGGGCCAATACGGACCACCACTCACACACCTGTTTTGTTTGCTCCTTATTGAACTTCAAGCAGGGATGACTGTACTGCAATAATTTTTTTTTCCAAAACTAAATAAAAAAATATATAAAAGAACTATGCAGTTTTATTTATAGTTTGAAATCTAAACTAAGCCAGAACTTTTAATAGCAGAAAATACTGGAGATAAACAAGAAAGGTTGTATTTTCTATGAAAGCATTCTCTAATGTGCAGTTTTCACGTTAAATTGCTGTATCATGTGGAAACATATTTCCTGGCCCATGTATTTCCTGCATTATTAGCATTAAAGGTAAGGGCATTATTAAGTTTCAAGATGTCAATATTTACCTTAATAGGGAAACCTTGACTTTTGACCAAACATTTTATGTAAGTCTTTGACACTAGATATGATTTGCCTAATTCTGGGAATTTTCTGAGATCTAGAGCATCTAAAGGACCTGTTCAAGTAAGGCTTCCTGATATCACCTTTGCTCCTTTTTTAGAGAAACTCTGGAGTTGCTAAAGAGCGCAGCAATGGTATCTCTAGTCTTCTCTCTTCTACTGACCAAGAGTGTTTTTGAGAAACCACAACTTCTTGTATCAAGAATATAGAAAATGAGATGTATCTGTCTTGCCCATAGCAACTATTGGAACCTAGTTGCTTTGTGTAAGACTAGAAACTTTCAGAAACTTTTATTCATTTAAGAAAATGCTGACAACCATAGCATGTGGGGAACACCAGGTAGTGATTGTGCATACAGGAAGCTAACATGTCCCTTGAGGTTAGTGGAGTTCTGCTTTAGCTTTTTGGGTACCATATTCCAACCCTTGTACCTTATAGAGTTGAGAGATGGGGAAATATTTGGTGACCAATGTAGAAACACTGTGAATGGTAACTTAAGTCATGCTTAGATCAAGTTTGCTAGGTACCTAAACCTGCTGGATGCTATAGGTATTTTGAACACATAGGTATTTGTTCACTTATTTAGAAAAAAAGGACACAAACATTAGCAGATCTTTGAATTTCCAGAATATAATTTGAACGTTTCTTCAAAAAATAATTTAGGCTCTATAAAAACATAAAAAAACAACTTAAAGGGGAAGAGGATTATGTGTACCCTCATCTAAATATGTTTACTGCTGTATTATGGATTGTTATATAGTGGATGAAATACAGTATGTAATGTATTATATGTGCCATGTATGTATGTGTGGACTAATGTCCTCAGACTTTTCATGTATGTGATATTGTTCTCTGTATTAACGCACAGATTTATTCCTGTTGCTCAGCCATTATGGTATAGGCTTCTATTAAGTATGCTATAGGATTTATAGCTGAACTGTTAAATTAGCTTTCCATTGTGGGAGTTAATTCTAATGTTGTAAGATTGTTTTTAATGGGGAAACAGTGCAATGTAATTTTCATTTAGGGAATATATTTAAATGAAATACATTCCATGTTTTAAACATAGTTCCTGCTATTTCACTATAAGTATATACATTTTATTTGCCTTTTGGAGCTATTTTCATGGATTTTACCAAACATTAATTTTTTAAAGAAAAAGACTCATTTTAAATGAAGAAAATGCAAATTAAAAATAATTTATTGTGTTTATCAGAGTAAGGAAGATACATGCCATAAAGTGAAATAAATTATTAAATGTGTATTCACAGAATTAGCAGTGGATTGGTAATCTCTTATACAACATCTCTACTGTTAGACTTTGGTTTCAAAGTTGCTGGAAACATGCTGCACACTCTAGTTGTTCTAGTGTATGTGACCTGGTACATGTTACATAACAGAATCACCTTAGACAATGTGTTTATACAATGAAACATATTCAACTGGGACAGGCATGCAAAAACAATATGGCAAATAATTACCTGTTTTTGTTTTTTGATGCTTGCTTCAGAAATTCAAATAAAGGTACATTCAAAATGTGGGTAAAAACACAAATAACATATGACTGTCACTACCAATAACACAGCAGTCTTTGTTTTTCATACTCCATATGTTTTATTGCTGGTTGATCATGGCAATAGATCTGTTGATTTTCAAATTTCTGCAACAGAGTGACAATGCTGTTCATGTTGCAGTAAACTAGCTGTCACCCTGTAGACATGGCAGTTTAGGTCTCATGTCGATGGGTGTTGTTTTCCTGCACTTGATGTATATTTGGAATACACATCAAATGCAGGTCAGCAAAATCCCATTGACTTTAACTGAGCAGTACACCTGGCAGTTGAGAGGCCAAACATTTTGTTTGAACTGGAGGCAAGAGGTCACATTTTTCTTAACATGAGCCTTTAGCTGGACTTCAAGGGAGCAACAAACAAATCAAAACCCCCAACTCCAGCCAACACTTTTTAAACTGTTACAGGTTTTGAAAAAAAAAAAAAAAAGGTTAAAACAAAAAAGAATAAAAGCTCACCACTGTAAGCCCACCTGTCAGTATAATAGTTCCCTTGCTGTCATTTTTGCTGGACAGCTTAGCCTACATATAAAGGTGGAGGAAAAATACAAAAAAAGGCATATGAAATATTATAAAATCATATAATGAACATTTTACACACACATGTTTAAATTCCCATGTGTCACGTACCTTGGTATGAGCCTGTAGTGACGAGGAAGGCCTTCCCTTGCTGCTCTCGCCTGAGCCCCACTGGAGATGGAACAGTAGTTATACAGACAGAGAGGGGCACGAGTGCCTGTGGCTGGTATGACTGCTGGACACACTGGATGTGCTGATGCTGACCACAGGACGCCAGAGGCAGCTGAGGCGTAGTCAGGGACAAGCCAGATCGGTAACGTGCAGTCAGCATGGTACAGGAAAAAAAACCTTCCTGCACGTGGGCAGGAAGGTACCAAGACTGGTGAGTGGCGGCCTGGAGAGCCCTAAGGAGATCGCTGTGGAGAGCGCTGGTTTAACTAGGGCCCTGTGGGGTCTAACCAAGCTGGTTAGACCCTACAGAGCCCTGGCGAGACCCTACAGAGCCCTGGCGAGACCCTACAGAGCCCTGGCGAGACCCTACAGAGCCCTGGCGAGACCCTACAGAGCCCTGGCGAGACCCTACAGAGCCCTGGCGAGACCCTACAGAGCCCTGGCGAGACCCTACAGAGCCCTGGCGAGACCCTACAGAGCCCTGGCGAGACCCTACAGAGCCCTGGTGAGAACATACAAAGCCCTGGTTTAACCAGGGCCCTGTGGGGTCTAACCAAGCTGGTTAGACCCTACAGAGCCCTGGCGAGACCCTAAAGAGCCATGGTGAGACCCTACATAGCCCTGGCTTAAACAGGGCTCTGTGGGGTTTTACCAGGCTTTGTGTGGTCTAACCAGTCCCCACAGAGCCCTGGTTAAACCAGGGCTTTGTATGTTCTCACCAGGGCTCTGTGGGGTCTCACCAGCCTGGCAAGACCCCTCAGAGCCCTGGCGAAACCTAAACATGAGGCCCCACTCAGGCCTGTGGGGTCTCACCAGGTCTCTGTGGGGTTTAACCAGGCTGGTGAGACCCCCAATGAGTCCTGGTGAGACCTCACAGAGCCCTGAATAAACCAGGGCTCTGTAGGGCCTCACCAGGGTTCTGTGGGGTCTCACCAGCCTGGCAAGACCCCTCAGAGCCCTGGCGAAACCTAAACATGAGGCCCCACTCAGGCCTGTGGGGTCTCACCAGGTCTCTGTGGGGTTTAACCAGGCTGGTGAGACCCCCAATGAGTCCTGGTGAGACCTCACAGAGCCCTGAATAAACCAGGGCTCTGTAGGGCCTCACCAGGGTTCTGTGGGGTCTCACCAGCCTGGCAAGACCCCTCAGAGCCCTGGCGAAACCTAAACATGAGGCCCCACTCAGGCCTGTGGGGTCTCACCAGGTCTCTGTGGGGTTTAACCAGGCTGGTGAGACCCCCAATGAGTCCTGGTGAGACCCCACAGAGCCCTGGTGAGACCCTACAGAACCCTGGTGCTGGTGAGACCCTACAGAGCCCTGGTTTAACCAGGGCTCTGTGGGGACTGGTTAGACCACACAAAGCCTGGTAAACCCCCACAGAGCCCTGTTTAAGCCAGGGCTATGTAGGGTCTCACCAGGGCTCTGTGGGGTCTCACCAGGACTCATTGGGGGTCTCACCAGCCTGGTTAAACCCCACAGAGACCTGGTGAGACCCCACAGGCCTGAGTGGGGCCTCATGTTTAGGTTTCGCCAGGGCTCTGAGGGGTCTTGCCAGGCTGGTGAGACCCCACAGAACCCTGGTGAGGCCCTACAGAGCCCTGGTTTATTCAGGGCTCTGTGAGGTCTCAAGGCACTGTATACACAAATGATCTGCGCCAGTAAATCGAATAAAGTGAAAGCTACTAGGCACTGTAATATTAGGACACAAACAAATGAATGAATAGTAATGTGCCGAGCTAATAAAACGGGAATTTCGTATAAAAGTGAATACACTAAACACATAAGTATGACAATATCAGGCATGAATCCTCAGTAACATGCTGGGCTCTGGGTATCCAAATAGCATTAAAAAAATGGTGAGCAAAAACAATAGAGTCCTATAACATCAAAATTCAATGTGAAGGAATTCTTGGAAGTGACGAGAAAAAACAAGGAAAAACTAAATAGGTGATCATCAATCTTAGGAGGAATCCGAAGGGCCACAGCCTAGATAACTATTCCATTCCTAGACTATCCACACCCGGTGAGTACTAGTGTACACAGGGGTGCTCACCTGAGATGTAGATCCACACAGTAGGTCTCCTAACGCAGTTTCCTTCTTTGAAAGAGGAGGGAAGCCCTTAACACAATATCACTGCATCCACTCAGAACAGCACACAGGGTTAGTGGACACAGAAAGAGACAAGCAAAGACACATAGCACGTACCATCCAGCAAAGGGTAATTTATTGACAAAAATGGTACTCACATGAAAATGATAATCTTAGACATCAAGACAATCCAGAAGGAATGCCCACAGTAACGAAACAGGAATTAAAAAACACTCCCATCCATCCAGCTCAAATGGAGGGATGACGTTGATAACTCCGCCCCATGCACGTTGTGTCTTACCTGACTTTGTCAGGAGTCTTTGCCAGACCCCTGATGAAGTCACGTAAGACGCAACACACATAGGGTGGAGTTACCGAAGTCATCACTCCAGTCAAGCCGGAAGGATGGGAGTGTTTTTTAATTCCTGTTTCCTGTGAGTTCTGTGACTCTGAGGATTCATGCACTGATATTGTCATACTTATTGATTAGTGTATTCACTTTTATATAAAA